GAGAGAGAGAGAGGGCTGGAATGTTGTACAGTCCACCAACCAGCCATCGGCGCGCAGCGCCATCAAAACACCCCTCTCTCCTTCATCACCTTCTTCCATCGATCGTAACCTTCGGATGAGACGAGATACGGACTCGCAAGAGCCAACGCCCGCCCCCTGATTTTCGTCCCAGACTTCTTCTTTCCCGCCTTTGCATTCATCGAGGTCGCCGTTGCCCTCGTCGTTGACTCAGACTATCCACCACTAACATCCTTTCGTTTGTCGGAAGAGGGAGCCACCCCTGCATCCGGGAAAGCAGTAGAAGACGTGGCAGTTGTGGACGACTTCGCAGCAGACGCCCTCTTGGCAGCAGATGTCGTGACAGCAGCTGATGAGGCAGCAGATGATTCCGTAGCAGCAAATGGCTTGGTAGCAAATCGCTTGGTAGCAAATGGTAGCAGATGACGTGGCATAAGATGATGTGGCAGCAGATGACGTAGCAGCAACTGACGTAGTAGCAAATGGCTTGGTAGCAAATGGACTGGCAGCAGATGATGTGGCATAAGATAACGTAGCAGAAGATGATGTGGCAGCAGATGATGCGGACATTCAGACGGTAGCTGACCCTCAACATGAATCTGTCGAGGATCTACATTCAGACGGTAGCGGACATCCACTTGATGCTCCACACGTCATCCGTTTTTTCGGCATGTCATCCTCTCCCCCCCCCCCCCCCCCCCAAAAAAAAAAAAAAAAAAAGTTATCCTCGATTCTTGTTCTCATCTTCTTTGAAAAAAGGGAGATGGCGTTGAGATAACGGCATTGAGATATCGTCACTGAAGTGACCAGCATTACGTGATTCAAAATTATTGTGTTTTTTTCAGTTTGATGCCATCTGGATTCGAACCTAGGTCCATGTTTCAGCAGTAGTTCATGGGTGTAGCAACTGAGGTAAGGAGGGGGGGGTGGAAGAGAGAGAGAGAGAGAGAGAGAGAGAGAGAGAGAGAGAGAGAGAGAGAGAGAGAGAGAGGAGAATGTGCATCGCAGGGAGGCCGCACAGGCTAAAATCACCCAGCCACAGTGGCCCACTGTCATTGTATGCAAGCAAGTGCGCGGCAGAAATATGGGGCCACCAACAAATTTCTGTCATGCCCCGGTAGCTCCCTCACAGGCCCGGAGGGAATGCCCCAGAGCGCCTCCAACAGCGACATGGGAGTTATAAAAAGATGGATGGTACCGGTAGGGGCATCTCGAAAATTGTCCCGCTGCCTTTTAACGGCCATCCGGTAGGGGCATCCCGCAGATTATGGACCGATACCTATAGGGGCGTAATGAAAAAATGTCAGGCCCAAATGACACCGGGGTCTTATGGAAAATTTGAACCCTGATCAGAGGGGTGCGACAGGGTAAATCGGTCGTCGGAGGGGCGCGACGCAAAATAACGCAAATTACAGGGGCGCCAAACAAATTTTCCCTTCCTTTTTTTTTTTCTTTTTTTTTTTTTCTTTTTTTGGCCGTTCTTTCCCATTAGCAGTCGGATAGGAGTGTGGCCGAGCCAGTGTGACACTGAGTGGCAGCGGCCTGACAGGTTCATTACGAATTTCTGGGCTGAGAAAACAGGAGAAAAGCGAAAAAAAAGAAAAGAAACAGAGACCTCCCACCGAAAATCACAGCAGAGTGCTTCCCAGCCATCAGATCACAAATGATCCGATGGTGGTGGTTGCAACAACAGTGAACAAAGTAACCGCCACATTTTCTGGAATAAACTTGACTTCTGTCAGCACTGATCCTGACACCCTCCATATACTCCCTGATTGAAGGAGGGCTCCACCCAATAAGATAATTGCACAACAGCAAGTAAAATACTGCAAATCTTCTATCCAGTGGGCCTAAGGCCGACCCCACCCTCCTTTGGGGTTGGCCACACCCCCAACCGATTGAAAAGATTTTGGCGGGAAGCTTTCTTTGCACGGGCATGCCCAGTGTTAAGGAGAGCAGGAGGGGAACGAAGATATCCTTACTTTTTTGGGTAATACAAGTAAAATACTGACCATGGGATCACGAGTATGCACCGCATGCACCGCAGGATTTGGGTCACTCAACTGCCCCACAAACTCGTTTCTATCCTATCACGTTGCTAGTGGGACCTCGCCCCTGCAGATGTAGATGTAGATGTAAATATTCAGATATTCATCATATTCTACAATTCCGCATTCCACACACGAATTCCTCAAATCCCTGCCGTGCCAACGAACTCGCTCCTCCCCCGGCAAATCTGAGCATACTGAGGGCACACTCACACTAGGCCCTCAAATCGC